TGACCCTACAAGAAAATCTAGCTGTCTTCCAGCCGCCGCAGCTCACAAACGGCGCATCCGTTGCTTTCTGAAGCCCTTAGAAAAGTAGCTCTGAAAGCTGCCGGCTGCCACCTTTGCCGGGCGCATGCGAAACAGCGAAACAGCAGGGCCCAGAGGGACGGACCGGGCCTCCGGGCAACGGCCTCCACTGCCTAACGTCACTTTCTGACCCTACAAGAAAATCTAGCTGTCTTCCAGCCGCCGCAGCTCACAAACGGCGCATCCGTTGCTTTCTGAAGCCCTTAGCAAAGTAGCTCTGGAAGCTGCCGACTGCCACCTTTGCCGGGCGCATGCGAAACAGCGAAACAGCAGGGCTTGCTGGTCCCAACCGCGTGTCCCAAGGCCAGGCGCCACTGCCTAACGTTGCTTTCTGAAGCCCTGAGAAAACTAGCTCTGGAAGCTGCCGGCTGCCACTTTTGCCGGGCGCATGCAAAACAGCGAAACAGCAGGGCCCTGAGGGACGGACCGGGCCTCCGGGCAACGGCCCCCACTGCCTAACGTCACTTTCTGACCCTACAAGAAAATTTAGCTGTCTTCCAGCCGCCGCAGCTCACAAACGGCGCATCCGTTGCTTTCTGAAGCCCTTAGAAAAGTAGCTCTGGAAGCTGCCGACTGCCACCTTTGCCGGACGCATGCGAAACAGCGAAACAGCAGGGCCCTGAGGGACGGACCGGGCCTCCGGGCAACGGCCTCCACTCCCTAACGTCACTTTCTGACCCTACAATAAATCTAGCTGTCTTCCAGCCGCCGCGGCTCACAAACGGCGCATCCGTTGCTTTCTGAAGCCCTTAGAAAACTAGCTCTGGAAGCTGCCGACTGCCACCTTTGCCAGGCGCATGCGAAACAGCGAAACAGCAGGGCCCTGAGGGACGGACCGGGCCTCCGGGCAACGGCCCCCACTGCCTAACGTCACTTTCTGACCCTACAAGAAAATCTAACTGTCTTCCAGCCGCCGCAGCTCACAAACGGCGCATCCGTTGCTTTCTGAAGCCCTTAGAAAAGTAGCTCTGGAAGCTGCCGACTGCCACCTTTGCCGGGCGCATGCGAAACAGCGAAACAGCAGGTCCTGCTGGTCTCAACCGCGTGTCCCAAGGCCAGGCGCCACTGCCTAACGTTGCTTTCTGAAGCCCTTAGAAAACTAGCTCTGGAAGCTGCCGGCTGCCACCTTTGCCGGGCGCATGCGAAACAGCGAAACAGCAGGGCCCTGAGGGGCGGACCGGGCCTCCGGGCAACGGCCCCCAGTGCCTAACGTCACTTTCTGACCCTACAAGAAAATCTAGCTGTCTTCCAGCCGCCGCAGCTCACAAACGGCGCATCCGTTGCTTTCTGAAGCCCTTAGAAAAGTAGCTCTGGAAGCTGCCGGCTGCCACCTTTGCCGGGCGCATGCGAAACAGCGAAACAGCAGGGCCTGCTGGTCCCAACCGCGTGTCCCAAGGCCAGGCGCCACTGCCTAACGTTGCTTTCCGAAGCCCTTAGAAAAGTAGCTCTGGAAGCTGCCGGCTGCCACCTTTGCCGGGCCCATGCGAAACAGCGAAACAGCAGGGCCTGCTGGTCCCAACCGCGTGTCCCAAGGCCAGGCGCCACTGCCTAACGTTGCTTTCTGAAGCCCTTAGAAAACTAGCTCTGGAAGCTGCCGGCTGCCACCTTTGCCGGGCGCATGCGAAACAGCGAAACAGCAGGGCCCTGAGGGACGGACCGGGCCTCCGGGCAACGGCCCCCAGTGCCTAACGTCACTTTCTGACCCTACAAGAAAATCTAGCTGTCTTCCAGCCGCCGCAGCTCACAAACGGCGCATCCGTTGCTTTCTGAAGCCCTTAGAAAAGTAGCTCTGGAAGCTGCCGGCTGCCACCTTTGCCGGGCGCATGCGAAACAGCGAAACAGCAGGCCCTGAGGGACGGACCGGGCCTCCGGGCAACGGCCCCCAGTGCCTAACGTCACTTTCTGACCCTACAAGAAAATCTAGCTGTCTTCCAGCCGCCGCAGCTCACAAACGGCGCATCCGTTGCTTTCTGAAGCCCTTAGAAAAGTAGCTCTGGAAGCTGCCGACTGCCACCTTTGCCGGGCGCATGCGAAACAGCGAAACAGCATTCTGTCTGTCTGTCTGTCTGTCTGTCTGCCTGCCTGCCTGCCTGCCTGCCTGGCTGCCTGTCTGTCTGTCTGTCTGTCTGTCTCTCTGTCTCTCTGTCTCTCTGTCTCTCTGTCTCTCTGTCTCTCTGTCTCTCTGTCTCTCTGTCTCTCTGTCTCTCTGTCTCTCTGTCTCTCTGTCTCTCTGTCTCTCTGTCTGTCTGTCTGTCTGTCTGTCTGTCTCTCTGTCTGTCTGTCTGTCTGTCTGTCCGTATCTGTCTGTATCTGTCTGTCTGTCTATCTGTCTGTCTGTCTATCTGTCTGCCTGTCTCTCTGTCTCTCTCTCTCTCTCTCTGTCTCTCTGTCTCTATCTGTCTGTCTCTGTCTGTCTGTCTCTCTGTCTCTGTCTGTCTCTGTCTGTCTCTGTCTGTCTCTATCTGTCTCTGTCTGTCCCTTGAGCATTCTTCAGGGCAGGCCTTCTCCAGCGCGCTCCCCCAGCATCCGGCTGGGGTCGGCGGATAACATCTATAAAAAATGGATATTTAATAGATATGTTTCATATTTTTTCTTGTCATTTTCTGTTGCTCGTAATGGCTATGGTTTTAAATCGGTGTTTGATTGGAGCCTTCATGGCCAGGTTGATGGATGAGAGCAAGTTCTTGCAAAACAATCCACGGCTGGGGATCCATCCGCAGGAGACAGTGGATTTAGGAAAGCCATAGAAAATATAGAAGCCGAAGTCAAAAATTCAAGAGTTTCAATATGTTTCAATTCATTTCCACGTACTTCGATGATTTACTACTGATGTATGGCTTTGAAGTCTTGGGCTAGTTTTGCCGTGTTGTACCATGGTTTTAGCAACTTTGGGAAGATTCCGGACATGATCATACGCCATGTCTGCTTCGGTGACGTGCACAGCCAGGAGAAACGTGCAGCACAGGTTGTGATCAAAGAACTTGAGGTTCGGAGCAGTGGTTTGCTCGACACTGTTCACACTTTGGTGAGACTCCGCTTTTCGTTGCGCCGGATAAGACAAAACGACGAAACGCAGTGAAAAATGAAAAGAGAGCGCCAAGATGTCCGCAACAATCCGGCATTTAACGCTCTGCCGTGCAGAAACCATGCTTTGCAGGCCTACTCCACCAAAGCAGGTGGTCCACTGATCGTGGAGGCGCAGCAAACGGCTCAAACATCTGCGCCGTCCGTGCCGTTTGGAATCCGACGCGCCAGGAGTTGGAATATGTCCCAAACCGATCAAACCTCAAAGTCGGAATCTGAGTCTGAGTATTCTGCCTGGAGCTGACGTTGAGTGACTTTGGATCAAAACACGGGAAAATTTGCGTAACATGTTGTGTTACAGGATATCGGAAAATTGGCAATTTCGACATGTTGACACCCTAATTTGACAATTTCGAAGGGCGGCGCGGCGAGGTCACCTACAAAGGCACCACCGCTTCGACCATTTCATTCGTTGCTCCCCCAGCGATCCGCACGGTGAAAAAGCGAAAAAGCACGGCTCGGCGGAGTTTTTTCAGACTGTAGCAGGGAGTCTGAGCAAACACTTGCACACAGCCAGAGTAGCAAGCTCTGCTTGCTGAGGTTGGAAGCCACTTCGATGTCGTGCCAGCTGAACCAGAGCAGTGGTCCAAGGAGCGCATAGAAGAACTGCTGTCATGTGCTGTCAAACAGATGTTGCCACGATACACAAAAAGATACAAAAAGTGAAACGTGTTTCGACTGCCTGTCCGATTTGTCTCAGTACCAAAGTGTTCCAAACATCTAGCTGCTATAGTTGGTGCCAGGATCCTTTCCATCTGACTGTGGAGGATGATAATCTCTACGGACGTGGAACAACTGATTGCTTAGGCAAGCTATCGCAAGCTGTATTGAGCCTTTGTAGCCTATGCTGGTAGTTTCCTTGTGTTTCCTTGTGTTTCATTTCATTTCATTTCCTTCTTGGTTCTTCATTTGAGTTCAGTGTCATGAGCCACCATAAGCCACCTAGCCTCCCTTTTTCTGCGTCTAGGCCATGTGGCTCTTTTGACGTGCTTCTTGCGAGAACTTGGGCGAACCAAGCCGAAGCTCAAGAGAAGCAGCTTCGAGCGCAGTCAGAATGCATGATGCCAGCCATGTCAGCCAGAAGTCAGCCATGTCATAACAAGACATGCTTTGGTGACACTGGTGGCATTTGATGCTTGCAAATTTTGCTGAAGGTAACACGAACACGAAGCATTGAGCAAGGTTGGAATTCAAGCCCCACCAAGCCCCACTATTTGTTTCCGCAGCAGAATCGCCACAGAGGCCAAAGGCCAAAGTGCCACTCTCACCGCCGAGTCTGCCACTGCCCCGAGGTATTGTGGTAGTCTTCATTGCTGCCGAGGAGGGCGCCGAAAAGAACGTGGGAGTGGACAAGGTCCTGGAGAAAGGGAAGTTGGAAGAGGCCGTGGCCGTGGCCAGATGTGAGACTGAACACATATGAGACTGAACACCAATGTAAAACATTGCATTCCAAAATCATCCAAAATCTATAAAGACAAATCGCAATAGACGTGTCTAGAGGGATTAGAAGGCAGCCAAAGACAATGATGCGATGCCCAAAAACTGTCTGCGATGTGTGGTTTTTGTGTCGTTTTGTGTCTAGGCGAAGAATGGACCTGTCTATTGGGCAGCGCACTGAGAGCGATCGAATCCGAGAGGGATCCTGGATCCACCGATGATTCTTGAGCTCTGCCCTTCCCTGACAGAAACAGATGCAGTTTCCAGGTTATTTCACTGTATCTTGTAGCTGAAAGTTCGTGGACCTGATCCGCTTGGCAAGGGGTTGACATAGTGTGAGAATGTTTGACATATTTTGACATCATTTGGCAAATCATTTGGCAAATCATTTAGATTTTCATACATCATTTAAATGTTATACATGTCGAAAAGAATGTGATGCTGCGTGAAAAAACGTGGACACCTGGGAGATCCTCCGGAGATCCTCCAATTCCAGGTGGACAGCGCCGACTCCAACCCATGTTGTGGAACAGCTGGCGCCATCTCGTGGTGCGCCACCGCCGAAACGCAAAAATCGGAGCGACTGCTTTGGTCTTGTGGATTCCCGTGGATTCCGCCGCAGGTCATTGAAATGCAAGGGCAGACTTTTCCACAGTGGCTGCTTGGACGTTTTGTGATATGTCTTGTGATATGATGTTTTGTATGTTTTCATCATATTTTCGTGGGAAGAGTGGAAGAGATGGGGTCAGATGGGGATTGCCGGGATTGCGATTTAGTTTTGAACAAGGCACATAGGATATCATGGAATCACCTGTTCCGTGTTGAACACGTTGAAGACGTTGAACACTTCAGCTGCTGCCAAGGCTTTCCCAACAAGGCCATCAATTCCATTGAGATGGCCCAAGAGGCCGGGGCCGTCCATATGTGGTGAGTTTGGATATGTTTGGATCTGGATCTGAGGCTATGGGCTTCCTCCAGGACTGATTCGGGCTGGCCATGGACTGGCCATGGACCTTGCGAAGTGAGTCTGAAGAGTTGGAAGCCAACTGCGGAGGAGAGGTTCTACAACGACTTCCCTCCATTGCCAGAGGAGGGCCTCTACTCTTTTACCACAGGGTGCCTTGGATGAAAGCATTGAATAAAGCATTGAACTAAGTTCAAGAACGGATTCCAAAGAGGACACACAGCGCATCCAATAAACATTCAATAAAACATGGTGTAGAGATGTGTAGATCCTATAGATTCATATAGATCCTAGATCAAGAAACACATGAACCACTCGATAAACATCCCATTCTTGGTTTTTGAACTTGGTACGTCTCCGATCCAGCGATCCAGCCGAGGTCACATATGAAACCGACCCAAATCGAATGTTCCAAGGGCTCCTTCAACCAGATCCCAGCAGAGACCACCATCCATGGCGACATCAGGCAGCGGGGCGGCGCAGCAGAGCGGTGTTTCACCTTACGTTCCTAAAAGTAGAGGCCCCGGAAATAGGCCCTGTATACATCCCATTAAAATTCTCTATGAACAGGACAACATATACAGAATAAGTATAATCTATGTGTATATATATATATTATATCATATAATATATAAAATTATTTTGGTGCTGCAAAGAAGAGCAGCTGAATGCCAATGTGTTTATCATGGTTTATCAGCCTGGATTTACTTCGTGTGTCCAGGCTCTCACCTTTCTATGAGGTGGAGGATGTGGTAGAGCACATTGAACAGTACATCAAGGAGAGATGTTCTGATTTCAGATTTATGGATTTATTAAGGAATTATTGTATTTCTTGTAGAATTCCGTGTGCAAAGTCCCAAGATGTTTTTGACAGCAGTGTTCAAATGGGATTATGAAATCGTCAAGTGGTTCAAATCCGATGTTCCAAACAGCAGCATATTGACCTTCCATCTCAAAGAGGTGATCTAGCACACCAATGCTGGGAGATGTTGAGCTGACCGCAGGATTTGAACAGCGAGCTCAATGATCTGGAAACGCACAATCGAGGAGAACATATTTCGTCCAATGTTGCAACATATTCCAACATAAACGAGTAAGTTGGTAACAATCCTACGGTTCCATGCAAGGGGTTGGAGTTGGAATGCAACATATCGCAACAGCCAAGCAATGCCATATTGCACAGCCGGGCACTTCTCGCAGGACCTTGGAGTAAATTTGTGTTGCCCTTGAACGTGCAGGCACCGAAATCCAAAACCAGGAACGAGTTTCGAAAGTTTCGTAGCTTCCCCATTGGGGGATTTTTGTTTGTCCCAGTTTTCTCACCCCTTTGTTTTCACAAGACATTCAAAGCAGCATTCACGACACAAAATGGACCTTTGATGACCTTTGTGCATTGCCTTTCATCACCAACATCACTGTCCTTTGCGCAATGCGCAGCATCTTGGCTGCGAGGTTCAAGATGGTGAACTTCGGAAGGGAAAGGCGGATGGAGCGGGTGCAATTGGCACATCAAAAAAGCACAGAAGCACTGATACCAACACTGCATGCACTGTTTTTCCCCTGGGTTGTCAGTACACCAGCACCGTACAGCAGCACCTTCCAAGACCTTCCAAGACCTTTGATCAACGGAGTGATTGGATCTGTGGAGCAGGTGGAGCTGAATTGGATGGGAAATATGGACACCTTTAAGCTCTACGCCGGCATCGCCGTGAAACTGGAATCGGATGGCCACAAGGCCCCCCGTTTTGCGTCTCTGACCGCTTTAGGTTCGAAGATTTGTGGACGATTCTATGTTGATTCTAGCCTATTCTATGTTGATTCTATGTTGATTCTATGTTGATTGTTATTGATCATGCAGAACTGGCCTGCACTGAAAACTCTGTGTCAATTGTGAGACTCCACTGTGTGCTCAGTCTACCCGTTGTTGATTTCTTGCAGGCTTTGGTGCAAGCCTTCCGGGAAAGCAATGACGGACCTGCCGCTCCGCTGTGCAGTTGTGACGGCTGGAACACGCCAAGACTGGGTGGAGTACGGCACAGGCACACAGTTTTTGTGAATGTACATTTCTAGCAATTTCTTGCCCATATTCCAGGGCCGAACATATTCCATGCCAAAATAGCTGGGAAATTTCAGGGAATTGCGAAGACCCCTTTCAGGTGAAATTTGTATTTCATACAGTTTGCCAAGTATTCCTTTTCTTCTGGCACGTACGTTGTCGACTGCACATGTTCTTCCCCAAAGAAGATCCTTACTTTCAACAATTTCTGGAAATGTCATAATTAAAAATCTTGAGCTTTCCAAAAATGGATTAATAATGTTCTTATGGAAATTTGTCATCTACACTTTTCACGATCCCAAAACCCAATTCATAAGCTTTAAGCTTATGTTCTGGCACGCTTGGCTGGCCTTTCATCAGCAGCGCCATCCCCATCTTTCTTGACATCTTTATGGCCCCGCAAAGAGCTCTGCACAACAGGATCTGGGAACACAAATCATCGACGATCCTGTTTTCTTCCGTGCAAAATAATTCCACCGATAGAGTACGATGCCACCCCTGGAGTGCGCTAATTTTCTGGAATGCGAAAATAAAACAGTATGCGTGGCCCCCTTCGACCTTCCCCATGAATCCAACACCAATTTTTTCCATCATATACCAGAAAATTATCACATTTCACCCTGCTGAGCTTTTTTTTTCTTTTTTCTTTTTTTTTTGGCCAAAATTGCCTGGAATGCGATAGTATGTGCAACTACAGACGTCTCACGAAAAACCGCTACCTTTCCCATATTCCAGAAAACGTGATTCCAGGCGATTTTAGCCAAATAAAAAAAAAAACGAAAAAAAAAAGAAACAAAATCGAAAAAAACGAAAAATTACCGAGTACGAAGATTTTATGGAGTGCGAAGATCTTGCAGAGTGCGTGGATTTTATAGTATGTGCGCGTCCCTAGCTGTGGAGTGCGATGTCCCATGTGGAGTGCGAAGAATTTGTGGAATGCGAAGAATTCCGAGTATGCGTGGCTGGTATAGAGACCACATAGGGAAATTTCGCGGCCAGAACCAAAATTCCAATCCCAAAGCCGGCCCAAACTTCCAGGGGCACACCAGTGGGTTCTATTTTTCCAAGTTCACCTTGGGTGAGGTCCCGGGGAAGAAACTGGCTAATTTTTACTTAGCCAACCTTTAAAAACGTTACCTTTGACAACCCTGTCCTTCTTCTGTAGACAAATGAGGAAACTTCCTTATCAAAGCAGCCTTCAATTCATTCAACGTCCACAGCTCCTTTGGAACGACATAGGGGATAGAAAGCTGTGGAGGGGCATTCAATGGATTCGCCGTGGGCCAACTGTTCCCTCCAGATTGAGCTGAAATGCCTATCAAAGTAACATACCAAAACCCAGGTCTGGAGTACGATGAAAACATGGTATGCGAAGATTTTCTGAATATGGGAATGTTGCCTTTAGAACATTGTTTGTATTTGCATATTTACACATACGTATCATACATTGTTATAGTAAGATTCATGACAAATTGCAGACATGTATATACGTATATATATATAAAATATGTATATCGTTTGCATGTATTTAATTTTTTGAAGCATGCATAACATAAATACATAATATATATATAATGTAATTATATATACACATATTGTACATTTGTTTGCAGTAGTGTGACATCATCGTGCTTGCCATAGTGAGAGAATTGCAGGAGTGTCGCCATTTAGCATCAATGGTTCTCTTCCGTTGCAGTCTCAGACTTCCAGGACACCTTAAGGTACTCATGGAACCGATATCGGATAGTCAGAGACTGCCAGGTCGCACCGAGCGATAACAAGAGCAGAACTTCATCGGATAGGTTTGACATGGTTTGACCACATTTTTTTGATTCATATATTAAATATATTATGTGAGGCAAAGTTTCCGAGCTTCGCGTGTAACGAAAACTCTGATGATTCAACAAGACCACAAACCACCATGGATGATTCTTGAAGATTTGCGCTTTGCTTGGAATGGGAAGGATCATGGTTCAAAGGAGATGGCATTATGATGGTTATGATGTCGTAGATGTTTCTTGTGGGAGACTCGAAAATCGAGGTTGGTGAAGATGATGCAAAAAGTCCTGGCCTCGGAAGCTCCAATCCCAACTGAGCGGTGAAGAAATGGAAATCCCAATATCTCCCAATTGTTCCATACCGCGACTCGTGGCTCTTTGGTCAATTCCTTTTGGTTTGTACGGATGTTTTTGATATTTTTTGATCTATCCAGCAAAAGTAAGAATTTATGATGAATCAATGAATCCTGAGATGCGGCAGATCCTTGTGCTTTTGACTTTCTTTCACCATGGCATCGCTGATCATCGCTGATCATCGCTGGTCATCGCTCGCAGTCTGGCTTTGACATCCAGATGTGTGGCTTTGGCCGGATGTCTGTCTACCACGGGGTGAACGAGTGCGCTATGCACGAAACGAAACGGCTCGAAACGGGTCGAAACTTGTGACTGGTGACATGGTGTTTGGAGGATCACAGATCAAAATCCGCAGGTACTGCACCTTGTCGGAGATGGCCAAAGCCTACGAGGTCCTCACGCGCCTCACATGTCTTCTGGACCGGCTGGGTAACGGATTTCGAATGGTGGGGGGTTCCTAAATGAAGGCTACCCCAAGTCATGGGTTTTCGATACTAAATTGAGCGAATTTTGGATGATTGGGGGGTACCCCTATTTTGGGAAAGCACCACTTCTGAGTTTCCAGACTGTGAGTGTTGATTTGCCCTGCTATCCAAGTGGCTGCCTCTTGTTCGAGACTTTGGGACTGTGACAAAGATGATCCTATGAATGCCAGTGTCATTCTAGATTCCACATGATTCCACTGTATTATAATACTATTATCTATATTCCTATGTGATTTTTCTATCTCTATGTGTTTGGACTTTTCTTGCTTTGGAACTTCGTCTTCCGAGCTTCCAGGAGACTGTCTCCTAGACAGCGCACGCTGAGAGTTGCACTGCAACCGTGATAGGACATCGTAGGACACAGCAAAGATAGTAGAAGATTGTAGAAGATTGTAGAATCATGAGATAAAAGAAGTGCAATGAAGTGCAAAAACAGAAGAACCACTTAGAAACATTTAGAAACCAGATATCCATACCATTCCATACCCCAGATTCAGGTATCCAAATAGGATCGATCGCAATGTCGAAGCCATATGAGATTTAGTTTTGATCATTGATTCTCATTGATTCTTATTGATTCTTATTGATTCTTGTTGATTCTTATTGATTCTTATCATAACACAAAAAAATCAGAAGTCACACCAAAAAGTCCAGGCAAACTGAGACTACACAGCAGAGTGGCTGCTGTGCACATCAATTCGGTGCGTTGAAGAAAGCCTTGGCACGGAGAAGCACCATTTGGAAGCTTACCATGTCAGAGCTTGTCATGTTCTTGTTCTTTGCAACATCTTGTTATCATATCTGTCAAACTACGTCAAACTATGTCAACCATAAAAACAATGTTTTGTCAGTTGATATTTCAATGTAGATCACATGTCAGAAGAGACACTTCTTTATTCCCGAATGCGTAGCAAGGGTTCCCGTTTCACTCTGGGGGTCTGGGGGCTGAGGGTGTGTTCGCTCGACGTTGCGTTTGTGGTCGCAACCGTTCGCAACCGTTCGCAACCGTTCGCAACCGTCCGCGCGATCCCCGTATGGCCGTGCCTATGGGAAGTTTTACAGAGGTGGTCCTTTTTGGAGGTTTCAGACGTGTCGTTGCTTCGTTTCGCGTGGCAGGCGTGGCACTTCGTGACATTCAGACGTGTTCTGGAACGTGTCGAAAGTCGTTTTGCGTGGCAGGCGCAATACTTTTGCGACGTTTTCAGAAGATGTGTTGCAGTTTTCGTGGCAGGCGCAGCACTTTGGACGTGTCCATCGTCATTTTTCGTGGCAGGCGCAGCACTTTAGACGTGCCATGTTGCGTGTTTTTTGCAAATCGCATTGGCAGGGCTGCGTCAAGTGGCGACAAGGTGCAAATTCCGTGGCAGGCGTGGCATTTTGTGCGATGCGTTGAAAATTGACGGAAGCCTCGCACGAAACATCGATTTTGAGGTTGCCAATTTTCAGGTTCTAAGGAAAACTCGTCGGAAAACGTCGATTTTGAAGCTACAAAGTGTGAAAATTGGAGGAAGTCTCGCACGAAATGCTCGTTTTGGTGCTCCCAGGTGTCTCGTCTGGAGTCTCTGGTTTTCCCGTGGCTTCGCCGTGTCTATGGGGGAAGCTGCAAAACTTGTCCTTTTGTCATGTTGCCAACTGTGAAAATTGGAGGAAGTCTCGTACGAAATGCTGTTTTTTTCTGCATCCACGTGTTCTGTCGCGAGTCTCTGGTTTTCCTGTGGCGTCGCCGAGTCTATGGGGGAAGCTGCAAAACCTCTCCTTTTCGAATGTTTCCACGCAGGTTGTCATGTCGTTTTGCGTGGCAGGCGCGACAGTTTCTGACATTCCAACCTGTTTGATAACATGTGGAAAATGTCAAAATTGGAGGAAGTCTCGTACGAAATGCTGGTTTTTCTGCATCCACGTGTTCTGTCGCGAGTCTCTGGTTTTCCTGTGGCGTCGCCGTGTCTATGGGGGAAGCGGGAAAACATCTCCTATTCGAATGTGTCCAATCAGGTTGTCATGCCGTTTTGCGTGGCAGGCGTGGCACTTTGTGACATTCCAATTTGTTTGATAACGTGTGGAAAATATCAAAATTGGAGGAAGTCTCGTACGAAATGCTGGTTTTTCTGCATCCACGTGTCTTTCTCGAGTCGCTGGTTGTCCTGTGGCGTCGCCGTGTCTATGGGGGAAGCTGGAAAACCTGACCTTTTCGAATGTTCCCAAGCAGGTTGTTATACTCTTCACACTTTCCACTTTACACTCCTCACTCCACACTTTACACTCCACACTCCACACTTTACACTCCTCACTCCACACTTTACACTCCACACTTTACACTCCACACTCTACACTTTACACTCTACACTTTACACTCCACACTCCACACTCTACACTTTACACTCTACACTATACACTCCACACTTTACACTTTACACTCCACGATTTCCACTTTACACTCCACACTTTACACTCCACACTCCACACTCTACACTTTACACTCCACACTCCACACTCTACACTCCACACTTTACACTCCACACTCCACACTCTACACACCACACTCTACACTTTCCACTCCTCACTCCACACTTTACACTCCTCACTACATTCCACACTCCTCACTCCACACTTTATACTCCTCACTTTACACTCCACACTCCACACTTTGCACTTTACACTCCTCACTCCACACTCTACACTCTACACTCCACACTCCACACTCTACACTCCACACTCTACACTTTACACTCCATACTCCACACTCTACACTTTACACTCCACACTCCACACTTTGCACTTTACACTCCTCACTCCACACTCTACACTCTACACTCCACACTCCACACTCTACACTTCACACTCTACACTTTACACTCCGTACTCCGCGCTCTACACTTTACACTCCGCATTCTACACTTTACACATTCTGCACTCCCCACTCCTCACTTTACACTCCACACTCCTTACTTCACACTCCACACTCCACACTCTACACTTTCCACTCCACACTGCAGACTGGTAACAAGGGAAACATGTACAAGACTGTTCAAATAATCTATTGCAGAAAGGTATTGTGCGTCACTGCATAACCATGTGTTTTGATACTGTACCATTAACATACGTGTGAGCATTCGGGTTCGTGGGCTTCATCTTGTCCTTTTCACGTCCAATCTAGGCCTGAGAGCCGAGAGGATTCACTTCGACCATCTTCGACCATCGACCATTTCGGCTCAGAGTGCCAGCACCAACGACTTGTCCTTGCAGTTTCTTCTCTCCAAGCAGCTTGGCTCAGCCCGTAGTTTTCGACTGATCTGCTGAAATTCAGGATGCTCCTTCTTCTTGCCCGAATGTGAGCAAAAGATCGCAAGAGACAAGCACATTGCAATTTGCAGTGAGGAAAATGCTGAATTTTGGTGTTTTTTCAAAAAAAAAGTGATGCATTTTTCATTATCTTATTGAATATCCTCCTTTTTTTGGTTTGACATGCTTGACATCTTGATATTGTGTGTCTAGGATGGCCAGCCAAAGACCAGCCCTCGCCGTGCTGCTGCTGGCAGCCCTGTGCCTTGCAATTTTCCACCAACCAGCTCTTGGGGATGATATATAATATAATGTATATTATGTATATATATGTATATGTGATATATGATGTATATGATATTATATATATATATTATGGACACCTCCATATGTAGGGCCATATAGGGCCAGAGCGTATATCATGATGCATGATACATGGGGGCCATGAGGGACCAAGCTGTTCTTCATGTTTCTTCCAAAATGGCACACCTTCCAGGTGCTACTTGTCTGTCCCTAGCGCCTTCATCGCTCCACGTGCTGCCAATTCTGAGGTGAAATTGATCCCTTCATCATTTGTCGTACATATTATTTGGCTGTTAAGATGACAATCACAATTGACAATGAAATCGTGACGTGTGTCAGCAGAAACTGTCTTATTTAAATGGTTGATTGCATCGACTGAGTTTTACAGAGTTTCCATGGAGATCTGGTGGAGACCCTTCGGAAACTTCGTTGCACCTGTGCAGTGAGAGGCCGTGAGAGTTGAGCAGCGATCTGCAGAAGGCCCCAAGTCTGCAATAGTCTGCATCGAAAACATCATAAAGCATTCATAAAGCATCCAAAGAAAAACATGACCTTGTAATACCTTATATGACTATCTATCTTAAAAAAACATAACACATGAGTTCCTTGGTGGTTCCTTGGTGCATTTTGTTTTGACTTTTGCAATCCTTTCTGGTCCCCAGCATAGAATTCTTTGAGATCCATTGTCTATCCTTTGTTCAAGGCTCGTTTGCCCTTTCTAAATATGTCTAAACTCTAAACCTGTCTCAATCCTGCGAAATCTTCTCAAAACGATGTGTCAAAACCTATTTACATATGGGGATGGGTCAAAACCCTATCCCCCTGGTGAACATCAAAATAGCTGGTAAATGGATGTTCATCCCCCTAAAAATGGGTATTAATAGGTATTGATCCATACCCATATCACCATATGACTGAAACCCACAATTAACAACTGAAAGCATCAACATCCAGCTGCGGAGGCCTGGCCTTGGGCCTTGGAGCTGGTCTCCTCACGGCAGAGCCCGCCTATGCGGGTGGCGTCAGGACGCTCAGAGAATCCCACGGAGAGAGAATTCACACGAAAAACGGCAGAAAAATGTGGAGAAATCCAGAAAAGATAGAGAAAACATACAGAAATGTCAGATCATATAAGAATGTTTATAGTATTGTAACAATAAGAGTGTCACAAAAAATATCAATAATGACAGGATAGAAAAGGTGACTCTACTCTCAGATGTGAGGGCATTCAACACTTTGGGGGTTGACTGCGACTTCATCAGTGCTTCCAAAACTTATATGATACATTGCTTACATAAACTTACGGTATAAGCGTGCATGTCTTGTGTATTAAATCTGAGGATTACGAGAAATCTATGGCTCCTCTGTGGGATTGGGACCATGGGACCATGGGACCATGGGTGGTTCACCATGGGTGGTTCACCATGAGATCTGGCAGGTCTTCTGGGATGAGATCCTGCCGTACTCGCTGAGCATCAGCTTCGCCATCATTTGGGTGCCGGATTCCGCCGGATTCCGCTGGATGATCGATGAGGGGAAGGTTTGTGGATGGTTTCTTATTGTTTGTTGCTGTTTTCGCATCACAAGATGATCAAGATATATCAAGATATATCAAGATGAAGTGATTCAATGCCAGATTGAGGTAGTCAGACAGTTTAGTTCACGAGGTCGAATGGTCCCCATTGGCCCCCTATGCATTGCTTGGAAACGTCATGGCGGTTCCACAAGAGCTCTGGACCAAGCTTATGATACGAATTAAACATAATTAAACTAAAGTGGACATGTGCTCTGGAAAAACACTCCCATTCCAACATTTGCAATGGAAGATAAATGAAGATAATGGAATTCTGCAAGTGTTGAACAATTCAAATGTCATTGGATGCGATAGTGACTTCGTGCAGGGTTTGGCGCCATTGTTGTCGCTGGTCCGGTTACCATTTTCGTGGTCATCGTCATCTTCCCTGCTTCCACGCGAACACATTTGATCTATCAAAGCCCCCAAGTTCACCTATGTTGAATTGACGCGTAACTGACATGTACATTGATGTGCAATGTACAATGTATGTGTGCATACGCTTGCACAAGCATATACATATGATTGCATATGCATATTAATATATGATAATATATGATAATATATGATAATATATGATAATATATGCTTAAATATTATTGTATATTTATTATATATTTATTGTATATTGTATACAATTGTATACATGTGTACTCCGAGTTGTGTCTTTGTCCGAGTTGTGGCGATCCCTTCGACTTCGCCAGGGCATCATCTTGGGCTTTGTGTTGCTGCGACTGCAGGAGGCCTTTCCCGAATGAGTTCCTTGGAGCTTCGGCGCGGGCGGCATGCTAAAGCTTCGGAGCCAGAAGATCTGTTAGATTCTGTTAGATTCTGTAAGACTCATGATGAAGTTATTGCATTCAACACTATAACACTCATAACACTCACATTGAGAACACTTTTTTTGAGAAACGGATGAAACGGCTGATGTCGTGAGCGGCAGAGTTGCTGTGACACAAATATCGAATTCATCGAACTGGTTTCAATATTTCAACTGGACGCTGGTGCCACGGTGTCCGCAGCCCAGGCTGCTTCCTTGGTGAGTTACAACTGACCCTGACCTCAATGCGGTCACATAATGACAAGATATGACAAGCATTTTTCCGAAATGTGGCAAATTGTGGCAAATCTCGACACAATGGACAAAGCTGGCTCGATTTTTGCAGCGCGCCGCAACGACCTTTTTGTGACGTATGACGACAAAACAAAAGCAACGAAGAGAATCCTTCACAGCCAAAGGTCAAGGCGCAAGCAATATGATTTCAATCCTATATAGCAGTGTGGCGATGAAGGTACAACAAAAAGATGAGCGAGTCTGGGCCGGCATCAAGACGTAGTGGAAAACACAGACTGTAACATGAACAACTGTAGAATTAGGATGAATTGGGAAAAGCGTGTTTCATCGTGTTTCACTTCAACTTTCTTTGATCAAACACACGTTGCAACAGCAGACTCCTTAGACCAAGACTGCTGATCTTTCACGGCACAAATCTTGCGGTAATCTCCATGAGTCGAGCTATGTCAATGTTTTTCCTTTGATGATCTTTGATGGGCCATCATTTGCCGGATACTCCATGAGGTTTGTAGGGTTTGTAGCTATGCCAATGCTTCAATCAAGCAGATGGCAAATGATGGCAAGCTATTTTTGTGGCTTCCAGTGGCGAAAAACACCAATTGGATCCTGGGCGGCATTGCCATTGGATCCTGGTTCTGGTTCGAAGCCTTGGCTCGAAGTGATAGCAAAACGGATGAGAGACAACAGCAAATCAAAAGATATTCTGAGCATCAGCAAATCAAAAAGAACACAGAGGAACAGAACCATCAGAACCTCCCTATCCTCCCTGCGAGCTTTTTTGGTTGAGATTGCCAGTGTTTTGCAGGATCTTTTCGGTCAGGATTTGTCAGAACAAACTCCTACAACTAGAAACAAGACAGGTCAGGAAAAGAGGACAACTCGGAGTTTGACAACTCGGTCAATGAGAATATGACCGCCCAGGCATAGGAAAAGCTTCTTGAAAAAGTGAATCAAAAATTGAGCTTCAACTGATGTTGCGTTATGATTTTGAGCAGGAGGACCGTGGCGCAAACATTTTCTGCTGAATGTTGAATGCTTGTCCCGTTCCTTGAAGATTTGTCTAGTGGCAAAGAGTTGAAAGTCGGATACTGTCTGACCCAGTCGCATGTCGCCAGGACTTTGACAAGCAAATCCGGTCATCTGCTTATACTTGCAATGATGACGTCCCAAGCTCAAGCTGGGCCGGAATCTCCGGATTGCGCAGATGGTCTCTAGTTCTGACTAGTTCGATCTAGTTCTATCTAGTTCTTTCTATCTATCTATCTATCTATCTATCTATCTATCTATCTATCTATCTAGTTCGTAGTGATTTGGTGCAGGAGTTCTGTTCAGGGCAAGATTTTGCGGTGGATGTTAGCAGGTCTTGTCGTTGGCAAATGCGGTACTTGTGGATTTCAACGCAAATGGGATGAACGATTGGTGCAGTGATCTGAATGTGATCAAAGTATATGTGAAGTCAGTAACAAAGACATCAATGCAGGAATATAAATATGCACATATATGCACATATATGCACTATCCTTTGGACTGTAATATCACATAGGTCATACTGTCATACTTTGGCAAAGTTGGAGTTTCAGTGGTCCTAAGTTGTTTCTGACACAGCTTGAGTTCCCGAGTTCCAGGCCACAGCGTCGAAGTTGCGAGACTTCTTGAGGTCGGATACCATTGGTCCGCGTCCCAGTTCGCATCGCATCATCGTCATGCCAACAGGGACCCAATAGGGGCACAACTCAACAACTATTGAAGCATAGAGAGGAGTCTTTTCAAGTCGACTTGAGAATCTTGAGGTGGTGTATCGGATGATATCGGTTCCACCAATCTAGTTTTTGACAAAATGGTAAAACATATCCCACCATTTGATACAAGTTGCATCAATCTGCTGAAAGATTTGTTAAACTCCATATCTTCAGAAGATCCACCAAGGCATTGACCACATCATTAAGACGCCCTTTGGGGTGCGACGATTGGTCTACAGCGACTTTACGGCCTCCGGCCGCGCCTTGCGATGGGTCGATCCTTGGCCGCCTTGGCCCACCCTGCTGCTGCTGCTGTTGATGATGATGTCCAACTTTCTATGGATAATATATGGATAATTCTGGTGATGATTGTTATAAACACTTAGAGACTTGTTCTGTCCAACTTTCAGAATTTCAAGTGCGTTGCTCACACATTCTGTACACAGGTCCTCCATCAAACGAGTGATGTGTTTGAGGAGTCTTTCATTACCGACCGAATACTGCCTGCGTATGGCAACACGCACTCCCTTTCGACTGCGACAGCACGGCAGTCCACCTTCTTCCGCCCCTTGGCTGAAACACGGCTCACAGAACTGGCTTCCAGATGGAAAATGATGAAGTTCAGTGATTTTCAATGTTCTCCACTGCCCAAATCCCTTGACAGAAATTCTCCACAGTTTGGGAGTCCAATGTTGCTTTTGGAGGCTGTCCATGTTAGGGCTGATTTTTTCGATCGGAATGCGACTCTCTATTCCACGAAGTTTTCATGCAATGGGAGAGAGACCCTTTTGGCAGAAGTGTTCCGTTGGCTGATGACAAGTGACCTGATCACGAGGAAATGAAGCCAGACAAATCGTCAAGCACTACCTCAGTGCAACTTGACCACATTCAGCAATGTCAACAGATTTTCCGGGGCGAAGACATGCGAAGACAACTTGTACACGACCCGTATCGACAGCTATATTGAGCTTTCAGTTGCTGTTTCTGCTTGATTTGGCCCTGCTTGTCCTCCAGTCTTCGTAGGCCACTCATGAAGATGCTCTCATTTTTTCTGGCCACGGCACAACAGGTGTGGTCATCCTGACGTTGGCAGTACCCCGAAGTGGTGGCATCCTAATCGCTTCCTTTAACATTTTCGTAGCAAGCCCTCCCCGTAGGTGGAGTGCTTGTTTCCCTTCTGACAAACACGGAGATTTATGCCTGTGTCTATGGAAGTGGATTCTCCATCATAAGGACCAACAAATTACTGTGTAGATGGAAAATAAACTTTGCCGCTGGTCACGCCGAATTATCTTCAAGCTGCTACATTGTTTTCAGATGCAGCATGCCATTGCCATGTCACCCTTTTCGCCCTTTTGTTGTCATAGTTTTGCACTGTCCCATTGTCGATTGCAGGTGCTGTGCAGAAGTTTGTGAGCATAATGTGCCGTTCAAATTGGTTGCTGCCGGCTTTTGAGGACTTCTGCGTTTCCAACAGTAAAAATCACTCTTCAAGTCTTGGCGCTCTTGGCAGAAACCTTTCGCCCCAAGTCTTGCTTACTTCTCACTCAAGCTTTATCAAGTATCTACAAATGTACCAGTCATGAACATGTCATTAATTACATTGAATTACACAATTGGCACCCCAAAATACCGGCTGTAAAGATGAAGTGGGACCCGGTCTATGCAGACACAGAGCCCTGCCCTTAGGACCGCGCATCTCCTGGAACAGATGTCTCTGCGACTTTTTCGCATTTGCGGCGGACCGGAATCACCTAAAAAAGACAAATTACATATACATTGCTAATAGATGCTAATAGTATAATGTCAACCCCGGATTAATAAACCATGGTTTATGAAAAATGGGGGGGGTACTCCTCCAATAGTCATTTCATCTGATACTCAAATGGTACCCTCCCAATTAAACAGCCGTTTGGGGTTTATTAATCCAGGGTTGACATTACTTTAGTATACATACCAAATTACTGACCTAATCATATCTAATCTACCGAGTATTGGTTTTTTTGTGTCATTCTGGAGCTTTCCATATGTTTTTTTTTGTAGATATCTTTACCCTATATATTAAATTACCTATGTACATTTTATAACATTACAGATAACTTTACGGATGCCTTTAGAATCCTTAGGATATTTTCTGGGCTCTTGTGGGTGGACCTGCTGAAGATCCAGGATGGCTTCCTCCGAGAAGATAGGTGGGGCAGCTACGAGTGCTCGCTTTGCACCGTGCGTCTGAAAACGGCATCTCGACTGAACACGGACTGAAAGAACGTTTTTACCAGTTGCAAAGTGACAATGTCAAATCTTTCACCCAACGATTTCGTGTGAAGAACACAGTATGTGTTTGAAACATATGGAACAGTGGATGGATGTGGAGGGCATGTAGACCATAGAAGAAAACATAGAAGCTTTGCGGACTCTCTGAAGTCAGCTTCCGAAGTCTCAAAGTCTTCCAATGGGGTTTAATGTTCCGTTGCATCTACATTGTGACATTATCTTTGTCATTTTGAGAAGGTACATGGGCTACATGGGCCATGGGAGAGTATCAGTTCTCTTGCAGGATTGCAACAACTTAAATATGTTTGCTTTTTTATTATCTACAGTTATCTCTTTTTGTCTTTCTAGTGATCTATAGTATCTATGATGTATCTATGGTATCTATAGTTCAACATGTTCTGAATCGAGCCCCGAAAACCGAAAACCTCGAGCGCCGCCAGGAAGCACAATATCGAAGCCATCAGGGGAGTGAGATGCACCAAGAGAAGCTCCGAAAGCAGCGGCCCAAAGATGCCTTTGAAGGTGCCGTATTGTGGCCGCCAACCCCCAAGGTTTTCACGTCATTTATACATATATATATATAAATGTTATATCATGTTATATCGGAATATGTGTAAATCTACATCTATTTGTTTATTCGTCGGCCTTTGTTCTTTCAGTCAATAATTAAGATCACGTTCAGAGGACTTTTTTCACAGATGAAGTAAAATATAGAAGGATGAGACATCCTCAGCGAAGGCACTCGGCGCTTGTGTATCCTTTGTGATCCTTTGGCACACCACTCTTCCTTACTACCTTTCCGAGAACTGACTCGCCGTGACCTGGCGGTTTCTATTAGCCGACGACAAGTTCCTGCACAAATCTGACCATGAACCGGTCATTGTGGCTGTGTCCACACTAGAAGATAGCTGTGAAACCCAGATGTGCCAACAGAATCTGAGCAAACTTTGCATTGCAAAAGGGTAAACTTCATGAAACCAGGGCATTGATGAACACATAGGAGTAGACATTAGTAGACATCTCTGCTCTTTGCAGCGTTTCTTTTCACCCGTTTCAACATGTTTCAACCAGTCAATTGATGACTCTCAGGCTACGTCCATGCGACCACAGAGCCCATCTTCAGTGATTCCATTGCAACTCGTTCGGGTCGTTCCGAGAGCAACGTGGAAATCGAGGTTCGCTGCTTTGGATGGTGGATTCGACCAGATGTCACACTAAGTCACACTACAGATCTCACTCAAAAAAGATATGAAAAGATCAAGTTGCACCAGTTGCACCTTCATGACAATGGCATAGTGACACGAAAACGATGATCCCTTTCTAGCTTGCAAGAATAAACTTACTTCTCACTTGACTCATGTTGGACTTTGCCTTTGGTGATTTTTCGTTGACGGCTATGCGCCATGCGCTCGCGCTTTGTCGCAGGTTTGCACCCTTCAGTTGGACGCAAGCACGGGATTGTTGGACGAGAAGGACCTCGTTCAACGGCTGCAGAAGATCCAGAGTTTGAATCTTCGCTGCAAAATCAAAAATACGCATAAATTTGCCACGTGACGTCACATGGCCACATTTGTGCCGACTGGGGACATGCTGGCGTCACTCTGATATGTTCTGCAGCAGTAAATGTATCACCGTGAGTTGTCTGGCAGATCGGGTTTCAATGGGTTCCATTCAACGTTTCATATCGTTTCATCAAGTCTTTTTCGGGGAGGGCGGAGTTCAGCACATCGGCGATGCCGCGGAAAGCTTCGGCAGTGGCATTGTCGATTAAAGGAAACCATTTTTGCAACTTTTTTGAACAGTGATATATGTACATTTATGTGATATGCCACATATAATTATATATACCTGCATACTAGAACTACAAGAAATAAATTGTCGTTTAGAATGTTCGATGAAGAACTGGTCGTTTCAAGAAAAAGTGGACGTTGTGCATATATTGAAAACACATCAAAATATAAACATCCCATGTTCCATCAACATTTGGTGGACAGAGCATTCTTTTTCCTGCGCGGAAACTCCTGGATCTTTTCTATTCCGTAACATATGCAGCCACCATGTACCTATACATGATTTTCCGGCCATGTTGTTTGGCATTGACTCTTCTCGATAAGCGGCTCACACGGCCCACAAAGTCTTCACACATAAAGGTGCTTTCAGCGACTGGATTAATCACGCAAGTTGTGTCAGCCCTGTATTGTTGCAACGTGGTATGCACTATGTGTGCGAGTAGGTGGATAACTGGCTTCATTGACCACAAGCAAAGCCCTTTTCCATGCGCTTTTTCAGCCAATTTCACGTATGCTTTCAAAAACCCGCACCCAGACTGTATCAGCTGCCACCCTTCAGATTCCGTAAGCCAGTAACTTGAATGGAAGAGAATGTGCATGAAGTGCGCAATCGTTGAACATGCGTCCAGAATCAAAGACAAAAACTCATCACGCGGAAAACCAACCAATCCTTTGATGCATAGATCTCCGACAAATTTTCCAATCGTGGCAGTGTCCATATTCTTGCTCCAATGACCTTTTGGGAAGCTGCGACTACCATAGTAACCTAGAAGTTCCAGGCTAAAGCTTCCAAAATGAATTCGTTCAGTCTTGTTGTTGCTCAGCCAAGCTTTGAACTCTTGGTTGATGTCGTCCAAACTTTGATTTATGTTCCTTCTTCTGTAAACATGCTTCATGATGTAGATGATGGCAGAAGCGGTGAAATCCTTCCCACAGCCAGCATGGTAGACATGGAAAATGTCAGGGCGATAAAAAGAAGCCAAATCCGAATCGTTTGTAGGCAAGTCCAATAGAGGGGAGGGAATTGTCCATGGCAAAGGGTTGTTACTACCAGTGTGTTGCAGCCACTGTGCCTGAGTAATGCGAACATCTTCAAATGGTGGGCCACCGGTCATACCCGCACTGCACAGCCAGCAGCATCCTTTGAGAGCCCGTGCGTGGGCACCCCTCACTGTTTTGGCAACGCTCGAGAAAGATCGATTGTGAAATCCTGCTTCCCGTAAAAACGGTGCATCACCAGTCAACCCCAGAATGGCAATTCTCCAAACATCACCATTATATTCAAAGCCTTCTTCCAAAAGGTTTTGGAGGTACTGGACCCAATGTTCCAGCAAAGATGTGAATCTCCCCTCTTTCTTTTTGTAAAGTTCAGATTTCATAGCGCAAAACAAAAATCGATTGCCCAATGTGTTGCCGAGCAAGTTGACACCGGGATCGTAGCTGATGCCATGGTCGCCCGATGCTTGCCGTTGCCTCTTTGCATGTGCATGTGGCTGCAACTCGGCTGGGCTTTTGGCTGTTCCAGCCCCCAATGCGTTGAACATACTCAAGATTAAAATGGAGTCCTTGCGGTATGTACGGCCTCCATCTCCATGGAGATAGAAAGGTAGAAGATGCTTGAAATCCAGTTGGGTCTGATGGGGCAAAAAAAAATCATGATCCGGATGCAATGTCTTGCATTTGGCCCAGAATTGGGGTAGCACATAATCACTGTAGGCAATTGGCACGCCCAGGATCTTGTGGAAATTTCCACTCGCGGCCACAGCTTTCAACTGTTCTTTTGGAGGAAAACAAGGATAGGTAAACCCTGAAGTATCTAAAGTCAATTTCTCCATAGGCATTTTCACAGCTAGGCCGCAACTAGCCAATGCTTGGAACAAGGGTTCATCAGCACTTTGCACATTGGCACGTGCGATTTGCTGCAAGACTGGGCAGTCATCTTTTGCGGCCGCAGCTTTTGCTTCTTCAACACAATCCAGAGCACTAGCCTTGGATACAGGTGCTCAAAACATTCAACCACCAAAGGACAGTAAGTTGATACAAGAAGGGTTCCCTAATTGATTTCCATGCATTGTCAAGTCTGCATGGGTGTTTTGATGTGCTTTTTGGAAATCGAAAAGGCAAGTTGTAGTAACCCGAGGTTCCAAGACCTTCCAAATCCCACGAGCAAATTCAGGCAAGAGGCGCCCTTGGCATATGACTTCGCGATGTGGTGGACTGTGTCGCTTAGCTGAACTGCTTGGCCTCCCATGCATAACACTTATTGAGATCTATTGGCTTTGAAACCCAAGATTTTTTAAGTCCAGAACATTGACAATCATGTGGTAGCTTCTGTTCGGATTGTCCAGCAATGCAGGCATTCAAGTATGCAACCACATGCAACCACATCGTAAGCATGCACTGGCTTATTTTCCCCTGATTGGATCCGCACAGCGTAACACAGCCGCAGGTTTCAGAATCTGCATGATATCACATGCCATCTCCCGGGCTGCAACCCCCAGCTACAGTATGTAGCATGGCTCATGAGAGCACCATAGGAACGTGAAAAGAATCCATTCACTCATTTTTGACAGCTTTGAGCTTCTTAGCCTTCGTGACAAAATGCCTCATGGTGATGCTGTCACAAAGCTACAGGTTTTGGGATGCTGCTGCTACTTGCATGCATGGACTTCACCGCCATCCTGGGCTACAGACCCTGCAGACGCTTGCGCGGCAGTGCCCTTTGAAATCCTGGGCAGCAAGAAAGGGTTGCTAAGTATTGGGCTACGATATCAAATCAAAATCGCATACGTAATATATCAAATTTATTTGGACATGGGCATGCATAGTTATATATCATATGTTTGCAAACATGCAGGTGTATTCATCAGCTCTACTGAGCCCACGAGTAAATGCAGAAAAGATTCGACTTGGTCAACGATTTGAAGCAGGTCTCGAGGTCCTCATTGATCCTCAAAGGGGCTAGACTTGGGAAAGGACTCAGTGAGTGACGGGTAGCAGGGGGTTCCATGAGTTTGTCAAAGTAGTAGTATGGTTTTGCAGCCAAACTTCTTGGCGGTGAATCCAGTGGTGTCACCCTCTGCCTTTAACTCAGTGAGCTTCTCATACTGTGTCTCGATCTCATCGATGATGGACTGCAACTTGTCCACCATCCTCGGAAGATGTAGCTGCTGGCCAGCCAAGGTATGTTGTGCATGCACCTATGCTTTGGGATTGCTGCAACTGCAGACATTTGACGAGGAGCTTGCGGCATGAGGTATCCTCGCTCATTAGCGGGCTGATCTTGTCAACAGTAGAACACAAGGTATTTTTGTTCTTCAAGGCATTCTTCAAGTACATACCCACTTTGCCCTTTGCCTAAGATCAGTTGCGGAAAAACCATCACATCATGAGTGTTATGCACTGAAAACTGAAACGTCTTGCATATGTTTTGCATCAGTGTGCACTGGATTTTAGCTAGTTGCCTGGAGATGGCAATCCCCCTCAAGCTCCAGTCGGTGAGCGGCATCACCCATCTCACCAAGACCCGGGATCGCAGCACCCCCATCAAAAGCCATGGAAGGGATATCATCCATAGATCCAGCACCTTCATGGGACTGGGTAACGGCCAGCCTCTGGAGATCTTCACGGGTGAGCGTCCCCTGGGTGCGAGTGTTAACCCAGAACTCCAACTCCTCTTCATCGTATTCACAGTACCTGTAAACAAGGGCGCGAATAAGGGTGCTTATTCGCACCCGTAAGTCGGAAGTGAAATGGTTTCAGTATGATGTATCAACTTGATGCAGTGATGGCCCTTGACCAGTTTTAAGTCATAACCACATTTATGTGAGATATAACCCCAGACCCCACACTTATAGAGCAATTAAAACCACATTTAGAACTGTTAAGAACCAGAAGTGTTCATGGCTCTTGGCAAGCCTCACCAGCTTCTTGGCAAGGGCCCACTTCTTCACTTTGTCGATGCGCTCCCTTAGTATACATGCATGCATGTGTCCGTGCTAATTGACTTTTTTCTGTATAGAAATTTTGTGAAACATTGCACCAATCTATACATGCAACTGGGCATCACTGAGTATCCCAATTCGGTCTTCATATCGCTTTCACTGTAGAATCCTCCCTTCACTTCAATCTTCTTGGATTTGGTTGTGCTGGAAAACATTTCAACCCTCTGCAGGAAGATGTCCTGCAGGGAATCCGACAAATCAAAGATTTTTTCAAAATCTAGCAAACTCAAATGATCTGTAAAAGTCTATGTGATATGTTGGGCTCATAGCAACCAACCCTTGTCCTTCACCCCACCGCTTTTGGTCCACATGGCGAAAAGTTTCTCCTTGCCCTGGTTGGTTTGCCAAAGTTCATAAATATCTTTGGGAACATCAAGTCGCCCCGTAGTGGCCTTGGGGGTCACAATTCGCTTGATTTTGTCCTTCTCACTTTTTGTCAGGGTCGAAACATGGAGGACAATGGGTTCCTCAACCTCCCCGCCACCATCACCTGCAGGTGCTGCTGGAGATGCAACATCCATGGTCACTTCCTGAGCAGGCTCAGGTGCCTTGGCTGAATCACCTGGTGGTGGAGCTCCACCATTGGTCTCCTGGCGGGTGGCGGCCATGGCCAAAATCTAAATACATTGCTAAATAAGAACTCTATAGTTTATCGATGTGGATTCCGAAATGGTTTTGCAATCCCACACCAGTTTAAGATTCACCATGCAATTTCATATTTCCAATGCGCACTGCAATGTTACTTGGCACCATGTGGCCGCTACATCGGCTTGAAATATGGTATAAAAACATGCAAGCCCATTAGCGGGCCCATCAATACTTTCAACATTTGCTCAATTTGATTGCTGCCAAATGACATTGGGTGCAACCGCCTCACCTTTGGACTGCATAAGCGACAGCTGCATCTTCAAAGACTCAATCTCCGCCTGCTGCTTGGAGGTGAGATCCACCATGAACTGCATTTTGCGGTCCTGGGCCCATGGCACCCGTTACATTTAGATGCTCTAGGGGAGAAACAGTAACATGAACATTGAACATGCATGCTACTAGGATTAGCATATCATAGATGCATGCTAGTATCTTCATGGAGTGAAGGGGCCTGCGATGGTGCAACAGAAGTAGCGCTCCAATTGTGCGGTGGGCGCATCAAGCCATTTTCATGGCCACTGGCTGCATCAAACTCTGGAGTCAAATTTCGGGGGGCTCCCAAACCAGCTTGCTTGGGCATGGGGCTCTTTGGGGATGGCAAGGTCAACCTAGCAATCTTTGAAGCCAGTTCCTTCTCTGAAATATCCTTTCTCTTAGCAGGTGCGATTGAGGGAACACATGGGGCAGGACAAAGGCTGGGACGGGCCACAGCTGCAACTGCTGCCTTTGGAGGTGGAGCCGGTGCTGATGCTTTAACTGCTGTAAAAGCCTTGCGCTGTCCAACAGCTTCCAGCCCCGAACCAACTGAGCAAGAAGGTCTCGACCCAGCTGAGCCAGAAGGTTGAGCTGCCATGACCTACGCACAAGCAAGAACAAATGTGACCAAACGATAACACATTGCATGGAACCCCAACGTTGATAAAGTATTAACTAGTCAACTACATGGTCAGAAGGCTATATGCCTGCCCTGGTTTTCCAAAAACATGCAGGCATATGTGCATTACAGGCCTTAGCAGCTATCAACTCAGGTGTAGTCGCAGGTACTGTCGTGGCTGTGGAAACAGATCTGTGCATCCCGGGCTTGGTTGTTGGCGTATTCTTCTCTGATGAAGCTTCCCTCACAGATTCAAGCACCTGCATGGGGCTGAAGGGGCCTCTCACACAAAATTTGAATTATACCTAAGCAACTTGTGATGGGTCTTTTGATTTGAAACAATTTCTCAAAATTCAACCCGAACCACCTGTTGGAGCTTTGCAAGTTCAGTGGGGTCATCTGGCAGTTCGGCTTTGATTGCTTTCAAGCAATTTGCATCCATGCAACCGATGCCATTCAGCAAGGTCGATGCTGACCAACCGTGCTGGAGAACTGGCTTTGGCGATGGCATCTTGCTCAGCACCATGGCACCTAAATGGGGTGGGGCAAAGGTGCCAAGTTTTATTTATTTATGAATCCAGGTCACCAAATTCAGGGTATCTTGAGGAATGTTGTACCTGAGTTTCGCTACAATCTGTTCAAATGGTTTTGGGGCAGACAATTTTGCGCGAAACCATCACATACTAATTGAATACAACCCGTTTCGTGCGAAATGTGTTCGAAACATTCACCGAAGCACCAAAAAAGGTATAAAATCGATCAAAATAAAAGTGGTCGTTTGATTGGATGAAAGTGGAAGTTGCTCATACGAAAGTGGAAGTTGCTCATATAAAAGTGGAAGTTTCGAAAATTCCAATTTCGCCGAAATTGGGTAAAAGCCTTAACATGAGTATCTTTTCGCAACCCTGCCTTCGAAATCCAAAGTCCAAAGTGCAAATGATGGGCACGTTTCGTGAAACTTCAAAAGGGCTACGAAACAAGTTCAATCTTGTGGGTTTGTGCGAATGTTCGAAATGAATCCCATTATCATACAAGACATCACATGTAAAGGAAAATCATCGTTTTCACTTGTGCGAAGGTCTCTAAAGGTCTAGAGGTGAGAGGGAATGATCCATGCCCAGCGCGGTGGGATGACTAAACCCTTAGCTCCAAGAAGGTATCTTGTGACCTCCCTCAAATGGGCATCTTCCCATGTGTCCCCCCAAGATTCATCTTGCTTCCAAAGAGTTTCAAGCTCCTTGGCAGCATCCTCTCGGGGCTGCTTGTCAACAGATGAAGCTTCATTCAAGATCTCTGGGAAGATATCGGCCATCTTGAGAGAAAACTCTCGAGTATAACTCCTGAGTAGGCAAGAGATGTGGAACTAGAAATTCCCGGGTCATTGACCATACCGGAAAATACTGTAGGGGAGGTCGCAAAAATATAGTACTAATAACAACTGCAAACTTGATCCAATTTGACTAGCAAGATTCTGTGTAGACCGCAACTGCTTGGACCCATGGAAGCGTGTTTTTCCAGCCTTGTTCTTATATTTGATGGTTGTAGAAAAATCTGGGTACTTTTTCTTCAGATCCTCCCGGAGCTTCCTAGTGAGCTTTCCCATCCAAAATTTGCAGATATGCCGTGAGTTACTCCACAAAGAAGTTCGCTTTGGTGACTTCGAGTTGAAAAACATCATCCAGAAGTTGCATCTGAAAACCTTGACAAGTCAGGACAATGTGAATCAGTAAGATATCCATCAGTAGGGAACATGCTTGGTTCAATATGCAACAGCTTTCACAAACTGCTCGGCCCACCTTCACAAGGCCGCATACCCACTGGAGCCTTGGATGCCGCCAAAGTAAAGAGCTACCCGGCTGCTCGACTATGAAGGTTCCTGACAAAGCCAGGACTAAGACCAAGATGAGGGCTAGTCGTGATGCCATCACGTTTGACTCCTCAACACATGGAAGTTCTCGATTACCCAATGGGTCCAGAAGGCTACGCAAGGTCGTAGGTCGTGAAATTGCAACCCACGTTGAGCATTTGATCCCATGCCAATTGATGAAGCCATCTTCACTGCCACGAAGTACTGATACTATATGGGTCCTTACACGAATCGTTTTAGGTTCATGTTGAATTTTGATCTCTGATCAAAATACCATTACTGCATTTGAGATTGATGTTGAAATGGAAAACTTAGCCATGCACGCAAACCCACCAGGGCTGAGGATATCCATCCCAGGGCTGTATTCAATATCAAGCTTTGCTGCAGGGCCACAACCACGAGACCTCAAAGTGTCGGTCATCATTCCGCACCCTGCATAGTGCTCGATGAAGGTGTAGCCCTGATCAGCACGCAAGGGTGCGATTGAGAAAGATGTAATCTTGCAAGGGCACATGGGGTCAGCCCTTTCCAACTCATGAACAACTCTTGAACAATACCTACATTGACTTCCACATGCTTCATGCTAAGGGGTCGGGCTCCCAGCCTCTGCCATCTCAATGTCTTGGTTCCAGTAGACCAGGAGCACCGTAAGGACGAATAACTTCAGGGAGAGGTGAACTAGTCAACTATTCTTGTAACCCATTCTTGCGACTGGAAAAAAAAAGGGCCAACTATCACCTAGTTGGACCCTTTTTTTCGGACCACTTAATTAATTATTTAATTTATATATGGTGGGTTGTGGAGGTGTCATTTGTCCATTGTCCAGTGGCAATTTCAAAGACGCCCATGAACCCTGCCTTAGGAGCACCCATTTTAAAAAGGGACAAAGCAGTACGAACAGGGCTACGCGCCCCCGCTGCCATGAACCAAGGTTTTTGTGGAACCGGAGATTGTTCAAGGTGCTGTGAGCAAACTGGCAGTGGCCGGCATGCAGGTTTTGCATGAACCACTGGTGCCTTGGCTACAAAAAAATGGCCCTATAGGAATCCAACATGCTGCCTCAAATTTTGATTTTGAAATCTTTTTGCATACTGCTTTCCCTGCAACATTGTCCCAAAACAGGCTAATTCCCCCTCACACTGGCCACGCCTTTCCTCGGAATCCGTGGGAGTGGTTGTGCTTGTAAAGCACGGGCCATGTGTACCTCCGCGGAGGCTCGTCAACACATGACTATATTGTAGGGATGTGGTTCGCACCACTCATTTGCTGATCTCCAAAACAGCAACGGGAAGCATCCGAAAGATTTTTTCAGATGTTTCCCGCTTGCAATTCAGTTGGCACTCAAGTTTTGGCACTCAACCTTGTCACAATCATCGCTAGACCCACTCATGCCAAGAAGCTTTCGGGGTGCCAGGCCACAATGCTGAATGAATTGAACTTTGTTAAACAATACGATATAATTTTTCAATGGGTGCTGTTTTCTAGACAGGACATACGAAATGAATCTTGGTGCAAACATGCAACCTTTCACCCCAATCTATGCTTGATGGCCGTCGAAAGAAAGATTGAAATCGGAATCCCATTGACCAGCTGACGCGCTGCGATAAAAATCTATCGCCCCTGCACCTCAAAAATCCTACTCATCGGCTACTCAGGCATCCTCTTTGGATCGCTGCGAGAGCTTGGCAACATACTTCTTGCCAGCCGTGGTGAGCACAGAACCTTGGCGAAACTGTGGATAAATCCCAGCTAAAACCAACAAAATTCGTCAAACATATCTCTTGGGTTTAATTTAGCTTCAGCAGACTGTTCCGGAGGAATCATAAAAACTATCTTTTGAAAAGGGACGGACTTTCTCATCCATCAAAAACTCATCAGCCAGCTTCTGGTTGACAACCTCTAAGTTGTTCTCATTGGCCGCGATGCGATCCGAGCACAGAATCCAAAAGGCTTCCTGCATTGGGCACCCCAACCTTGAACCATACCAACAAAATATTGAGATAGAAGCGATGATAAGCGATGATTGCTTGGGCTCCTAAAATGCCAAATTTCAAAACAGTAATGCACCATACCTTTGAAAATCTTTACAGTAAAGCACATACATTATGTGTGGGAACCCCCTATTTTCAACATGTTTCGTTGATATTCTGGAGGCCTTTGTTCTTTTGGCGGGCAATGAGCATGCTAGCTGCTAGCTGCTAGTGTCCATTTCAAATTGCATACCTGTCCTCTCCCCAAACTTGAAGATGAATCTTGCTCTTGATGTGCTCCTCAAAGACTTGGCGAATGGTGGTCCACTTGGCTGGCCATGCTGCAGATTTTGCACGCTTTGCAAAGGTTGCCTTGCCACTGACCGGAGCCCCATCACCACCATCCTCCTCATCCTCCTGATTCTTGCCCTTCTTCTTGCGCTGGTTTTTGCGGGGGATTGTGTCAGTCTCGTCAGGTTCAGAGGCAGCTGCAGGCACTGCCTTAGCTGACTCTAGCCTTGGCCTTCCCTTTCGCCTTCGCCTTGGCCTTGCATTTGGCCTTAGCCTTGGCGCCTTTGCCACGGCGACGGCGCCTTGGAAGGTCAACTTCCTCCTCCTCTTCCTCCTCCCCATCAAGATCCTCCTCCTCATCCTCACATTCTCCATCTCCATCCTCCCTTCCATCTTCGGGTCCACTCTTGTGTTTGCGCTTCTTCGCATTGGCTAACTGGAGCTGCTGCTCACGTAGGAAGGGCATGGATTTCAACTTCACATCATCGATGCCATCATCATGATCATCATTAAGAGGCTCCTGCCAGGAATCAAAAATTGACTTATATGCAAACTCTGCTGGTTATAGGGGGCTTCAACATTAACACTATGTTCTGCACATAGTTTTTTTGCATGAACGTGGGTCCTTTTCTTCCAAAGATGTTTCCAATGCCTTTGCAACTGCCTTGTTGCCGTCCTTTGCATCCGCGCAAGCTTGGTCAGGATCTGGATATGCGGCGCAAGGTGGCTGCGGAGTGCTGCAGCCTGGTGAGAATTGTATGTGTTGGATAAGGGTGGAACTATATAGAAGTAAAAAATAGAGTAAGCATGGTATGTACCAAATGAAATAAGTTGGGAACATTGGCGTGCAAAAGGCACTTTAAAACACGAAAAACAATTCTTTTTATGCTAGGGCACTGGGGGTTGCAGCTGGTGCGAGGGCATCCAGTTGTTCGGGCACAAGCTCTTTGGAGTCTTTGGATGGAACTGATGCTGTAGCAGGTGTAGGCTCAGTGGAACCACGGGACCTTGGAGCAGTCATTGGCACGATGTAAATTAGGGATTGTCATAGTGTGCTACTCGGTCAAATATGACATATATGAACACCCATATGTTTTTTAAATACATGACGATAAAGCAACTTTCTGATTAAATTTGGTGGCTGGTTACCTTTTCCAATTGTCATACGGTCAACTTGTCGAGAAATCCCATTGTCAAAACAGGGGGCCACTGAAAGCTTAGAATCACCAAACACACCTAGCAACTGCTCATGCGTGCTGATCTTGGCCTTCACCAGCTGGAGCAAAGCCATCACGGCATCCGGCTGAGGACCCGCAGGGCCAGCTGCTGCGGAGTCCGGCTGGTCACCGTCCACGTCGACGACCTCACAAGCAGCAGGCTCCTTGGAATGAAAGCCAGCATCATCCTCCACTGGTTGGGAATCCATAGGCAAGGTGTCGTCTTGCTCGGGGTTGAAACCGGATGCATCAGCCATAGCTAAAGCCCTGAGTTCTGCCAATGACTTCTCCTGTTCTTCTTCTAAACTAGAACAGCTGCGGGATAGGGTGTCACGAATTGTGAAGTCACTGGCAGCCTCAGTATCACTAATATCATCAATGTTCGGGCGACCTTTTTTGTTGGATTCCTCATCAGCCTTAAAGATGAACGGGCTTCGCCCTTCCTGGTGGGCAAGGAAGAATGGAAAACAGATTGAAACACACATTACACAGATCGCCTTTTAAGATTGTTGACTTTATCAAAGGAAAATTCAATTGAAAAAAAGGGATATTAACTTTCCATCAAGTATCTTTGAATGCTTTGTCAGAAGCCTTTGCCAAATCCTGCACCAAGTCTCGCACTTTGGGATCCTACAGCGTTTAACCCCAGGGCCTTGGAAAGATCATTGACATATTTTGCGATCGCCCCAACTCAAAGAAAATAAGAAAAAAGGGACCATGGACCATAGTAATTACATTAATTAATCAAATTAAGCCATGGCTCACGTGGCATCTCCCATCTCCGCCACTTGAAACGGATAATTGTCAACATCCTTTTGATACTTTTAGCAACCTCATGGCAAACCGTCACCCCAGCGTCGGTCTCAACGTCACATTGCATAAGGGTATAAAATCCAACCACTGCCTTCTTCACGGGGTCTATATGGCTTGTGCAAATCACACCAGTGGCTGCCATATAACTGGTGAAACCCTTGAGCAAAGTGTGGTTCTTGCTCATATTTTCCAAGGAAGGTGGTGTAGGCTGCACTGCATCATCAACGCTGGCCACTAGGGTTTTGCCCCTAATCGCCCGCTCACGTAGAGGACGACAGTTTTCCCACATGCGGATGCATGGCTCATTGTAATCAAAGGATTTTCGGAGTTGCTCTAAATCCCAAAGGTCCATTGTCCCAACTTGTAGCCGAAAAACTTTCATCATCTATATATGTGTAATGCGCTGGATCAGCCCCAGTCCCCTTTCCCAACATCCGGTGGCGCACGGTCGCAAAAACGAATAAGGCGATGCAGCACATCATCACCTGGCATTGGCGGCAAACATGGAGACAAAACAGAGTACGTGAGAGTGGGTGGGGTGACACGAAACGTAGCTTAAGCATGGCAGTTGCACCAGCAGAAGGGCATAGCCATAGCGGATGGTTCCATCAGCTCCCAAGATAGGCTACCGGTAGCAGCCACTCTGTGTGTGTGGATTTCCTAGAATTACTTGGTTACATTTTTGTAAATGGTGATTGACCTAGAATTGGTCAAACCACAACAATGGCCTATTCTTGTGACAGTACTTGATAATATCTTCCTGGCCTCTCTAAAGATTGCACATTCCCTGATAAATGCGGCGTCAGATCATGTTGCAAACAACCCGGTCACCTCGGCAGCACATGGGGCACAAGGGTTCATGGGTTTCATATACATCCAATCGTTTCATGAAGAAATGGTCGCTTATCCAAACTACAGTTTTAAAGTGATCGTTGGGATACCCAGGTATATATATATACATACGTATATAACATGTTCCCCGCAACCCCCTGGTTCGCCCACACTCAAACAACACATCCAAACAATATGATATATTTATCACCAAAGGATCAATGAAAACACTGGCTATACGCAGTGATTTTGACTTTAAGTTTTCATGATTTAGGGTTTAAATCTAAGGTTTAGGGTTTTAGGTTTTAGGGTTTTAGGTTTTACCGTGTTTGTTGTTTTGGAAAGTCAAAAACTTAAACCCTGCGCAGGGATTTGAGCATGTCAAACGATATGCGGGATTGGCCGCGGGCACACCTAGGGGTTGCAGCGAACATGTTTAAATAGATGTCATAAGGGGAAAAAACAAGTCCACCATGGATCATTAATTGATAGGTTATTGTCCGCTGGAAAAAATTAAATCATATGGAAATCATGGCCTCTTGTTAACGGCTTTGTTAACTTGCCCCAGAGTAACAAATTCAAACATCACCAAAAACTACCCCTTGCGAAGCCTTGACAGCAATCAAAGTCTTTCCTGTTCCAGTGTCCATGCACACTACAGTGTTTCTCTCGACACATCGTTGCACGCATTCCGTCCTTGGATCTGCGTCAAATGGCCCAATAAAATCCAATAAACAAAAACATGCTGAACCCACAAACCACCAAAAACAAATCTGGTTGGTGGTTTCAACCCCTCTGAAAAATATGAAAGATGATTATTCCCAATATATTGAAAGTCATAAAATTCATGTTCCAAACCACCAGCCAGAAATGATTGTTTCGGTATGTTTCGGTGGCCGTTTTGCTCAATATTGGTGTTGCTGCTGTGATTTTCCCACTGGAAGACTCCTGCAGTATTTCGGGTGCCGGCAAGGATTTGGGGAATGCAATCATTTCTTCAAAAGTTGCGTTGTCTGAGGTTTTTGTTGGACTGCGCCCTCCACACGGACCTTATGTTTAGATGTTTTTGCAGGGAGACGAATGCTTTGAACGCGATGTCTTTTCTGTGAACAAGGCCAAAAATGCCAAAATATGCGGAGCAGAAATACAGCTCCGGGAATTTGACCACAACATGTTTTCTGTGGCCATTTTTCCTGAAGTGCTATGTCGTGCCAAAAAGCTAAAGCAGGAACTGGAAGGCAAAAATAGGACTTAAGCGCCTTTGGGGAGGTTTTTGCGGTCGTTTTGCGGTCTTGTGTTCGGCCGTTTACACCAAGAATTTGCTTAAATATACTCAGCACCCGGTACAGTAGACAAACATCAAATTGCATGTGCGTTTTTTCGCGCTGCTTTAGTTCATTTCAGACGCTGCCTGCTCTCAGAGCCCACATTTTTTCCGGCCGTGTAAAGAATGCTTGGGGCCATTTGAAATTCCTGGATGAAATTGCTTGCTTCTGACAAGTTCTTGCGCACTTGTGCAAAAGATGTATCGTAAATGTGTATTCAAATGCCAGGGTGCAAGGCCAACACTTGATCAAACATGACAATTAGTAGTGTTTCCAAATATATTCTAAACAAGCGCACAACTGGTGCCACAATGCTGGTTGGTCCACTTTTGGGCTTTTTGCTTTTTTGACCCATAAGACCCAAATATTTATTGGTCGTTTGAAGGTCCTGGATATTCCTGGAAGATGTCCCAGCCAAACAGTGGATTAACCAGCATCGCACTTAAATCATCACCTGCAGCAAATCCAAGCTCTTCCAAGCTTCTGATAGGGTCGCAACGACAGACTATTAGAGCCACCAGCGACCATGGCAGATTGGAATGGAACGCAAACAATGAGGACCACCAGTGCACATGGTAGAGCGGAACGGAACACCCTACGGCGCCCTTGAATCATGGCTGAACCAAAAACATCAGAGAAATTGGACGGCTGGGCGGCTGGACCCCCACATCACCATAGCCTCTGGGAAAATCATGTACAGGCAATCCCTTAATAAGATTCCATCCTCATTTTTTTTTTTGAATACAAAGAGTCGTGATATTCATTATTCAATACCCTCCTGGGGGCATGCTGATTTCTGAACAGCCTTGGGAATATCCGGGGCAAAAAAGGTACGGAGGCTATGATCGAATTCTTGAGACATCCACGTGTTTTTATGGAGGCCAGTAGCCCTTTAGTGGCCCCTTGCATTGAAATCAATATCCCATAGGATCCATGTATGGTATATATGCTAACATTTGGGGTATATTGATGGTACATGTTACCATATATGGCATACATGGATCCTATGGGTATTACTTGGTAGCTTCAAACCCACCACCGTTTTTCTTGTTGATTCTTTTTGTCTAACCACCGGCCAAAATAAATGTGCATCTGAGTCCAATATAGTCCAATAACAATCATCAAGAACCAATGACCCTGCTCGAAAAGTCGGCGACGGAGTGGTTAGACTATCCCTACTTTCGGATGTGCATTACTAATTCGCAACCATGGTTTCAACCCAGCCACTTCTCAGCTTGGGGGGCTCACAAACACCATGCCTCTAAACAACTTGCCAACCTGTATATGTTTATCTAAGTCCATCCATGGTTTGTTTGACAGTTCATATTGAACCAAATCCACTCTGTGTCTATATATATGGGCTTGTCCAAATTTTATTTAAAAAAAATTGGGTACCGGCCATAATAATCCATTGGGTTTTCAGGGCTACCCTATTTTCAGACAAACGTACATCTGTAGACACTACCCTCCAGCAATCAAACATGGTTTGCCGGAAAACCCACCATTTAGATCCATTTATACACTGGTTGGTGGTTGACCTACCCCTCTGAAAAATATGAGTTCGTCAGTTGGGATTATTCTTCCCAACATAGCCATAGGATCCATGTATGGTATATATATATATATGCTAACATTTGGGGTATCTTGATGGTAAATGTTACCATATATGGCATACATGGATCCTATGGGATATGGAAAAATAAAAAAATGTTTCAAACCACCGTCCCCAGTACAGTTCGATGATTTCCCCAGCGAACTAAACCTCCGTTGAGTTCGGGGATTTCCCAGCCATCTGAGGTCCAACCATGGATGCTCCAAGGCAGCCTTGGCGGAAATCCTGCAGGTCACCGAAATCAGGTCGTAGCACCTGAGGGTGCCTCAAAAAATCTACAGAACCCCCCAAATGAAGTGGTTAACTCTAAAAAATTGGGAGCTTATCCACGTTCCTGCTCGGCACTGTCAACCTGTCTCTATATATGTATATATGTAGATTCTGTAGTCTTCTGTAGTCAAAGTCGAGATGATCCCATTTTTCGGGCTTCAAAATATGCCCCATGGTGGTTCAACCCACCAACGAAGGTTTCACACATAAAACCAGAAACTCGAAACCATCAGTTGCTTTCCGGGTGAAATCACCATAAATCATCCCTCCAGCTCCAGGTGGTCCCAGATGGTCCTGTCTTCCGGCAATAGCTGCAGCATTGGCAGCAAGAATGACGCCAAACTCTTTGCCTCGATCGCATGCATGTGGTACTTCTGTAGCCTTGGTCGAAAAACTGAGGACTGGGAAGTCTGTGTGAGGGGTTGAATCGAAAATGATGTGTGCAGTGGCTGCCATCCGAAATTAGAGGGTTTGCCATAGAATTTCCCTTGAAACAATTGAATAATAAAGACATGTGGTTCTTGGATAGAACCATTCGAGTTAGAGTTAAACTCAACTGCGCCCATGTCATCTGGTCTAGTAGTCAGCCACTTGCAAATGTTCAAATGATGGCCATTGAATGAATATGCATGTGCAGTGGTCGGCATGTTCTCATCAATGGGACATGCACAATCCCCCCCGTCACTGAAATGGGGTTATTCTGGTAACAGGGTCATTATGCCTTCTACACTCCGTTCCACTCCTACGATCTGCATGCATGCAAAACACACAGAGATAATATCATAAAACATATCCTGACATGTAAGGTTTAGACAAACGTTTGTATAATTACATCATCTGCATTCCCAATAATACCAACTCATAATGCACAATAAATTCGTAAATTGAGTTGGTATTACATCATCTGCATTCCCAATGCCAACTCATAAATTTCAACAATAAATATCAATCTCAGGGATACTCACACTCAAACTCCAGCGTTCCAGACCTCCCACATCCTCCCACCCTTCTTGGCGCCAAGGGGCAACACCTCGGCGAGCGGCCAATAGCGCAGGGACTTGATGTGTCGAAGTTCCCCGCGGCGGTTGAAGTACGTGCTCGACCGCCTGCGGGACGCGGTGGATTATCCATCATGGATTTTTTTGGGGATGTTTTGGAGGTATATATATATATATATATCGTATACATACATGCGCAGACACACTCAAACACACTAGACAAGAAAGGATCATTATATGATCCGGCAGGAACTGAATCCTGAAACATGCAAACCAGTCTAGATCGTTAGATTAGTAAAGGAGCCACATGAGGTACGTCTCGAAAACGATGTAGGGCATCCAATATTGTCAAACGTAGTCTTAACCAGATTCCATAGAGTTTTGACCAGCGTGTTGAAATCCAAAAAATTGTTTCGGCGATTGTTTCCCAAAAAGACCCAAAGTTCGTCGGCGACATGATCTCGGCGAAAATATGTCAA